TCAGTGTACATTGATGCATTGGCTGCCAAGAGCCTGCGCAAACACTGCGTGTAGGGCTCTTGTGAGATGCAGTTCTGGGTGAGTGCCTTCATGAATAGGAACGGAGTCACCCAGTAGCTGCCCCTGCAATCACTTTACAAGCCTGGTGATGACGATTCAAGAATCCATTTTATCGCTCCCTGCAATACCTGTAAAATCCTCTTCTTGGAGTTCAGTACAGGACACAGGCTTAGTCAAAGACTATTGGGTTATGCTGCCACCTTCTGGAGAGCGGACAACAGTGCAACAAGACTGTTAGGCTAGCCCAGTATACCCCTTTCCTGCACCCAGCATGCCTCAGTTTTGTCAGGAACCAATAATAGGAGTGGATCATAAAATAGAGTGGAGGGACTTGTGTCATGTACAGTACTCCAAAAAAGAGATTTATATGCAAGTCAAAAGTCCCATTTTCTTACTTGTACCCATTCAGGGCAGTCCACAGACTACAGGAACATCTAAAAGCAATACAAGTGAGGGGTAGTCATTCCAGCAAACAAACACAGACAGGTCCACATAACAATGGGTCAAAGGAAAGGCTTGGCAGAACCTACAGAGGAGCTTGAAGCACCCTATGCCTGAAACTGGCATCAGATGATGTTGGAATATCCACCATGTAAGACTAAACAAACATGTGAAGAGAAGAGCAGGCGACCTGGGGCACCTGATCAACAGATGCCTGATGCTGAAAGTCCAAGAAGCATTAACTGCTAAGGTAGAGTGTGCCCAGACGGGGAATGGAGGAACCTTGCCCAAGAGGTCATATGCCTGGAAGATGAGCTCAGGAATCCACCTGAAGAAAGCAGCCTAGAGGTAAACGCTAAACAGCGCATACCACATCTAGAAAACAGAGAGACATATCCATAAGATGTTCCAGAGCCGGTCAGAGAGAAGGTTTAACAATGTCCTGGTTAGGAGAAAAAAAAAGGAGGCCTGGGCCTCAAAACAACCTCATCACTGGGAAGAAATCTGAGCGACACTCTGTACTGAAGGGTGTACTGGTAGACCCTTGTCCCTCAGGACCTGAGCTTCTGTAGCCAGGCAGCCAGGTCAGTGACCATCCGGCCCATAGGGCAGAAGATCATGGAGGGTCCACGGAGAGTTGGTCAAGAAGCAGACGAGGTCATAGTACCACCTTCTCCTAGTCCAAGGCATAGACCGCATTGAACTGATCCCTCAGGGTCACCAGGACATCCACTGCGAAAGCTAGGAAATCCTTGGATCTGAACCTGGAAGCCAGGAGGCCCATGTCTGGAATACCCCCCCCACCTGTGTCAAAGGTCATAAACACCTTGGAGTGAGGACCACACTACGTAGTTCAAACATTGAAGCCCGAGGAAGTCCGCCTGACAAACGTCCCTGCTTGTGAAGTGCTAGACGTCGGTCGAGAGCACCCAGCAAACCAATAAGAGGAAGGATTTTTCTCATCAACAAAGTTGAACTCACAACCCCGCTGTAGAGCAGGAGAGAAATATGAAAGTTTGCCCCTGACTAGGGGACTAAAGGATGTTCTACAACGGCCTGTGCGTCAGCAACAGCATAGCTGACTCATGGACCAAGGGAATAATGGCCTGGCATGACTAGGTCACCTGACCATCATATCTACCACTATATGGGCAAAGGTTTGTGGACACTTGACCATCTACTACATAGCCAAAAGTATGAGGACACCTGACCATCACACCTACTATAAGGCCAAAAGTATGAGGACACCTGACCATCAAACCTACTATAGGGCCCAACGTATGAGGACACCTGACCATCACACCTACTATAGGGCCCAACGTATGAGGACACCTGACCATCACACCTACTATAGGGCCCAACGTATGAGGACACCTGACCATCACACCTACTGCATGTCCAAAAGTATGAGGTAACCACTCCAAATGATAGTTTGGTGTTTCCAGTGAAATGTACTGTTAATAATGTTTCACAATACAAAGACATTGTAGACAATTGTGCTCTTCCAGCCTCGTGGTAACAGTTTGGTGAAAACCCTTTTCTTTTCCACCATGACTGTCCCCTGTGGACAAATCTGGCTCCTAATAGACATAGTTTATTAAGTTTGGAGGAACTTGAATGTCCTGCACAAAGCCCTGACCTCAACCCTACGGAGCACATTTGTGTTAAATGCCAATTGCGAGCCAGGTCTTCTCCAACAATAGCTGACCTCACAAATGGCCACAAATTCCCACAGACACTCTAACAACTTGTGGAAATAAGAGTGGAGATGAAAGTGAAATGAGACCGGATAGAGTTGCCCTCAAAACAGCAACCAATCTCCAAGTATGTAACCACTTTAACCAGCGACCACATCCTCGTGTACACAGATAACGAGTCAGAATATTATATGGCTGCAGCTTAGTACAGCTTTAAGCATGTAGACTAGGGATGCACCGAAACCGCTATTTCGGTAACGAGTACTGATATTTTTTTCCCCGCTACTTGCCAATACCAAATACCGGAAGTCCCATTCAGGAAGCCAGGCGGCGTGTAATGACTCGCCACCCGGCTTCCCGATTAGCAGGGAAGACGCCCCACATGCTTCTCGTCACTATGCGACGATAAAGCATGGAGCCGGCTTTCTGGCCAATCAGGAAGCCGGGCGCCGTGTAATGATGCAACGCCTGGCTTCCTGATTGGCTGGGAAGCCCGGCTCCATGCTCCCTCATCATGAGGTGACGAGGGAGCATGAAGCCGGCTTCCCGAGCCAATCAGGAAGCCAGGCAGCGAGTTATTACACGGCGCCCTGCTTTCTGATTTGCCGGGAAGCCGGCTTCATGCTCCCTCGTCACAAGTCTAAGGTGCAAGATGAAGCAAATCAGACATAAAGATTGTTCAGATCTTCTGAGCTCCTGGGATTTTCCCCCAACCGACAGTCTCTAGAGTTTACAGGGAATGGTGCGTCCCACCAGCTAAAATCAGGATAATGAGGCTACGGGGGAACCGGGTCACTTATCTCAACTTCTGTAACAAAATGAAGAGTTAGAATTTGGCATATGTGCCATCAATCCACGGATCCACCCTTCCATGTGCCACTGGTGGTGACAGAACACATTAAACAGGACCTGCCCTGTGGAAGCTGTGTCCAAAATAAGACAAGCAGAGAACAAAGCCACCAGCAATGCCTGTGGTCTCCCTGGAACTGAAATCTGCCCATTGACTTACCATGGCCTTGTTCTGCATGGTGTCTCTGTATGGAGGTGGCCGTGTTGTTAGGAGCAGGGCTTTGCTTCCTCATGACAGAGCCACCAGCAAGGAGAACAGTGATCGGCACAGCAGTGACATCACCAAATCTCACTTCAAATCTCCTGAGACTAACAGAGGCAGCAGTGCCTTAGATGATCTCACGCTGCCGATATAAAGCTATGAGGCCGTAGGTACAGGAATGCCTAGACACACTCACATACCACGGAGGGCACTGATGGACTAAGAGTGCCCGTTATATAATTTATGGCGGCCTAGAACCCCAAATATTCTCGCATTATCAGGTCACATTGTGAGCCCAGACAGTAAACTGTACATATTGATGCGCAATACGACCCATGCTCCTAATGGAAGGACTCCTATGGATGAAGAAGCACTTTTGCACCCGGTGGCATATAGACATATAGGCGACATGTCTGGATCTGAGGACAGGTTCATGTTCTGAGTACCTGACAAACACGGAGTATATGAGCCCAGTGCCTGTTACTCACCGTCCAGGGACAGCCAGTCCAGCTGGGTGCTGGGCAGAGACAGGAAGTTACGAGTGCGATATTCAAAGATGACGGAGTGCGAGATGACGTGCTGGTGCTGGATGACCTGCAGCGTGACCAGGCCGGCTTCATGAGCTGCAGTCAGGGATGGACAACATGGGAACATCATTATTTTATTTATTACAGGGAAAACAGTCCTAACACCCTTGCTGCACACCTATCCCCAAGACTAACCCTCCCTGTGACCCCAACCCCTAACACTAACCCTCCCCGTGACCCCCAACCCCTAACACTAACCCTCCCTGTGACCACAACCCCTAACACTAACCCTCCCTGTAACCCCAACCCCTAACACTAACCCTCCCTGTAACCCCAACCCTAACCCTCCCTGTGACCCCAACCCATAACACTAACCCTCCCTGTTACCCCCAAACCCTAACACTAACCCTCCCCGTGACAATAACCCCTAAAACTAACCCTCCCTGTAACCCCCAACCCCTAACCCTCCCTGTGACCCCAACTCCTAACACTAACCCTCCCCGTGACAATAACCCCTAACACTAACTCTCCCTGTAACCCTAACGCTCCCTGCGACCCCAAACCCTAACCCTCCCCGTAACCCCAACCTTAAAGCATGAACATTTCTGTGAGTGATAACAAGTCCATTTGACAATTGGGAGCATTTATCATCACCCTCTAAGGCACATGTGTCAAGCTCAAGGCCCAGGGGCTGAATCCGGCCCACCAGGCCATTTCCTAGACTTCTACTTTCAGATCTAGGTATTAAGAATTACATGGAGCAGCCTCTCACCTGGGCAGTAGCAGCGCAGGACCCCTGACTGGATAAGAGATGCAGGGACAGACACATGATCAAACACGCAGGAATAGGAGTCCGAGTCCTCCACCCATGGTCCCGTTATAAGAATCTTGACACCACCCTAATTTGGGAATAAAGAGGAGAGTGAGACCAAGGTAGATACAAGAGGCAGAAAGTTCAAAGATGAAGAGTGGAGACTATAAGCCCCTTTGTAGGATGTACCTATGTTATAAAACCATATGGATGGACAGTTGGATAAATGGCTCTATATTTAGGGTGTATCTGGTCTATAAATGGCGGCTCTGGATGGACAGTTGGATGAATGGCGGCTCTGGATGGACAGTTGGATAAATGGCTCTATATTTAGGATGTATCTGGTCTATAAATGGCGGCTCTGGATGGACAGTTGGATAAATGGCTCTATATTTAGGATGTATCCGGTCTATAAATGGCGGCTCTGGGTGGACAGTTGCATAAATGGCTCTATATTTAGGATGTATCCGGTCTATAAATGGCGGCTCTGGATGGCCAGTTGGATAAATGGCTCTATATGTAGGATGTATCCGGTCTATAAACCAGTGGCTCTGGTTGTTTTACAGCCACAAACAATTTGCATGACTCTGCTTACTATCCCAAAGTGAACAAAGGACCCCCCACAAAGTCCCTGGCAACATAACAGAAGCCAGTTATTGATTCATCAACATTGACCCAAAATAGAAATATTAACCGTGGGCAGACTTGGGCCTTGCAACCAAGCAGAACTACATTTCACACAATAAAAAGGGACAGTTTACAGAGACTGTTACCTCTGGGTAGGACCACTCTGGTGAAAAATCGGTGATCCCCACCAGTCCTATGGATCCATCTACCACATCTGAAAAAGAGTCAGTGACTGCGGAGTTGCCTGTGTTCATGGGCTGCATCTGCTGAGTCGGAGGTTGTTGCTGCACTTGCTGTTGCTGTCCGTAAACGTCCTGGGCTGGAGAAGAACTGGCTTGCGGGTCTCCAAACTGTTCAAACCCCCCTGGGGCAGGTTCCTCCGTCATCAGGTCAGAGATGAGGTCCGGAAACTGACTGTCAAAAGAGATATTGAAGTTTTCGGCGGAGAGCTCCATGTGGACGCTGGAAGCACCAGAAGAAGAGCTCAAGTCATTCTGGATGATAGAGTAAAGGTCATTCATGTGGCTTCCTTGAGCTTCGCCATCTTCTTGGCTTTCCACGGTGGACACGACTTCTGTCCGGACTTCATCGCTGGAGCTGACCTGCCCTTCTCTTGAATCCTCCATCTCCACCTCTGAACTATGGCTGACATTTTCTTCCACCTTGCGACTCTGCTCTTCCATCGCCGTCTTCTCCACACGTGAATTTTCCTCCTCCACCTTGGCAACCAGGTCAGATTGCGACAGCTCACTTGATTCCATAAGACTACTGACCCGGGACCCTGAAACCCCTCCATCGTTTGTCTCCGACTTGAAATCCCCAATTTTAGCTGCTCCTCCGTAAGTCTGGCCTTCCTTTGGACTATTAAGGAAGGAGTCGGGGTCGAACATTCCAGCACTGCCTCCAGGAGCTGCCTCCATTGCTACCTCCAGACTATGAGATGAGGAAAGCAGAAGACCCTCCACGGGTGAGGGCAAAAGGGAAATACCGACAGGTATAGCGGCAGGCTGAGTTCCAGAATCAGCAGGCATCAGATGCTGGCTTGGCGTCAATGTCAGAGGCTTTTCGGGGATTCCGGTCATCACTAGCACTGCGCTGATGCCGGGAACACCTGGGGTGGTGGTTATGGTAACCCCAGCCAGTTCTCGGTCAGTGTAGAAGCCATTGGTGAGAGCCAGAGGCGGGGAGGTCTGGGTGGTGTCGGGGAGTGGGGGGAAGGAATGTGAAGAGCTGGGGTCATTCCCAGAAGGCGTCTTGCTACACTTATTTCCTGGCCTCCGGTCTTTGCCTTGGTCTGGCTCTGCCGAGGATGATGAAATGTTCTGGACCTCGGTGAGGGCTGGGAACGGGCACAGTCGAGGCTCCACCTTTGGAGAGATGATGCGGTGCTTCGTACTGGTGCATTTGTGAGGAGCGCCCCCCGCCGACCCTAACAGGAAACAAAAAGTCAGAGAGTTTACTACTTTTACACAAAGTTTCTCTACGAGTTGGTGGAAAGCGTCCTTAAGGGGACAGGAAAAAAGCTCCAACCCCGCACCCCTTTCCCGTGCTGTCATAAGTACTCTATGAGAGAGGCACCTGTTCAGGTTGTGGTTTAGGCTCAGTGCTCTGTTCCCAACTGGCCACTGTGTTAACCGAAAATACAAACACCACCCAACATAGATATTCCAGTGAGCGTATATAGGTTACCAGGAACCCAGTATTGGCAAAACCCCCACCGCCACTAGATCACACCCTCTGCCTGACATTGGGCTTATCCATAGATACCATCATTAAAAGGAGAACTATGAGGCGAGTGATTTTCCCCCAGCCTCATAATCTGAGCCGACCTGTGACAATGAAACTGTCACAGGTCGGCTGAGTAGATTGGAAAGTGAGTGAACACATACCGGCGCGCGCTCACTTCTCGATCTATCCCTGCAGAGAGCCGTGACTGTCACTCACGGCTCCCTGCAGGGATTCCCCCCTCCCCGATCCTCCAGCGCTGACTGGAGGAACGGACGGGGGAGGGGGCGGGCACAGCTGGCTCTGCCTCTAGATAGGCAGAGCCAGCTGTCAATCCCGCAGCTGGGTGGATCTCGACAGCAATGTCGGGATCCGTCCCGGCTGCGGCGGTCTCAGTATATAGGGAGCTGTAGCTCGCGGTATACTGAGCTTTGGGTGACGGGAGGACGCTAGTTTATGTCCTCCTGTGACCCTTAGGAGAACTATGCCCTGACCCCCATAGTTCTCCTTTAATCCCTATTTAGGGAGAAACACATCAGTCAATGGTCCCCTGGGTGCTGGACAATGCTGAGCTCCCAATACATTATCTCACAAAGTTGGACCTGTGTATGGTTTCATTATAAAGGCCAATGCCGACCCACATACACCACTATATCTCATTACCACCACTCCTTGCTTCTATCAGTGTCCTCAGTGCCTCATCCTAAAGACCGAACCCTCCATTCTTCCCATAGAAAATATGGTCTACTCAGAGAATGGGAGTCTCAGGGTACGCGGTCTATGAAGTATCGGGGAACAATAGAGGATGGCGACTCCCAAAAGCTTGCCTACACACTGCAAGTAGGGAAAGGGCTCTTGGGAGATGTCATTCTGGGGGTGTACTTGTGTATTAGGAAAAGGGCTCTTAGTAGCCAAAAATCTTACAAGCCCAGGGGGGGATGTGACAGGGGGGGATACAAGCTGTTTCATGCCACAGGATCAAGGTGAAAGAAAAAATAAATGCTGGGACATGATCTAAAGAGGGACAGGCAGTGTTGGGATACATTTGGGTCATGGTTATAACATGATTTATATTATCGTCATCTAGTGGAGTCAGGCCGGCAAATAGTAAGAACGTGACATGTGACTAAGCTTATTTCTGCTCTCCGCAATGTCCTTTGTACTCCCCTCTGTAGTCCAAGAGACCGCAGGGGTGAATGTTGACATTCACCACACAGAAAGTGACCGGGATGCAATGACTCCTGTCCAGTCACGCCTACCGACCGACCCCCTTCTAGTTCTAAACTTGTAGGCCACAGGATCGCCGCCATGGTGTGGGCGGAGATAACATTACCCATTAGTCCCTTCTCACTGCCCAGAAATGCCCAGACACTACACAAATCATGAGACGTTTCCTGGTATTCCCAATCATGTGATCACTACAATCATGTGACCAGGAGGCCTTCGCCCAGCTCCCAACAATTGATATGTGAATGGGAGCGGTCGGTGACAATGCTGGGCGCACGCAATTGAGCGTGATCCCAGCACAAAAGTGCAATGTCGGCTGTCTGCATACATGTGGCAGCACAGCATTAAAGTAGTATGAGGGTCTGGCCTTTTTTTTACCTCAATGCATTCTCTGCATCAGGGTAAAAACGGCCCAGGACCTTTTTTCTACCTCAGTCCTCCCCAGTCTCCCCCACACTAACCTGTCAACTGCGCCCGTCCCCGCCGCCGTTCCCGAAGCGATCCTCCGTACCCCGAACCTCCGGGTTGCGGGGGGGAGGATACTGATGGCAGAGGAGCCATAGGCTCCTTCTGCCATCAATCAAAAAGGGAAGGGGCGTGGCCTGCCACAGGGCTATGTGTGTCTATGGACGCACACAGCCGCTGCGGGCACGGGTGCCTCCATTAGAACGACGGAGGCACCCGTGCAGGGGGCGGGGGGAAGAGCATGGCGGAGACCCAATAGAAAACGAGGAATGAAGAACTTTAAAAAACAAACAACAGCCTCCAGCAAAAGGAGAAATGTAAAAAAAATGTGGCTTTAATATCACTTTAAGGACCTCACGCTGTCCTCCATATGTACCTATGGCCACCAGCGGCAACAGGTTAATTGCTAATCCCATGACTATTGCCATTAGCCAACAATTACACTGCCATGGAAAGAACAGAGCTTGGCTTTTCAGCCCGCCTCTGCTTGTGACATCACTCCGGAGATCCGCTCCATCCCGTTCCCTCCGGAATATTCTCCATAGAGATATATGGAAAGGCCACTGAATGCAGCAGAAAAATGCCCGGGCCCTGCCTATTAGTACATGCCCGGGCCCTGCCTATTAGTACATGCCCGGGTCCTGCCTATTAGTACATGCCCGGGCCCTGCCTATTAGTACATGCCCGGGCCCTGCCTATTAGTACATGCCCGGGTCCTGCCTATTAGTACATGCCCGGGTCCTGCCTATTAGTACATGCCCGGGTCCTGCCTATTAGTACATAACCAGCAGGATCCAACTTCAGCACATCGGTGGACCGCACTTCCTCCGTCTTGACGCTGGCGATTTGAAGATGGCAATGCAGGTGTTGAATGATCTCGGAGTGGCACAGTGAGGGGCCCGATCTGTGCCAGCCAGAAGTACCGATTGGCTGCTCGTGCCTCCAAATCAATGCATTTGCCTCAATAAGATGCGGTCTCTCATATTCAGCATCCTGCACAGCCAGCAGCAAGGAGGAGGGGGAAGGTCGGGGGTCAAAATCTACAGGGGTGGATAAATTAACACCTTCAACCGGGTTCACTTAAATATACGTCATGCGCTGGAAGTGGGTATACCGTGAACACGGCTACTGCAGACGTGTTCTTGGTACCGTTTTAAACATGAGACGATTGCTGTTTAACCCCTTCGTGACGGGAGACGTACAGTGTACGTCTTACCCAGAAGAAGAAGCTGATGAAGCAGAGCTCTCCTTCCTCAGCTTCTTTGGGGACCCTAGCTGACATTAGGGGTCTGAAAGACCTCTGATGTCTCCATAAAGAGGACCAGTCACCTTAAAAACCCATCTCTTCAGGGAAGCCTACCTCATCTCAACATAACTGCCTTTTACTTCCTCCAATAACTCAATCCAAACAATGATTACCTTTTGTATCACTGGCCCCTCCTACTAGATTGTAAGCTCTCACGAGAAGGGCCCTCCCAAACCTATTGTTCTGAAACTGTATTGTAAATTGTATTGTAACTGTACGGTCTCCACTATTTTGTAAAGTGCCGAGCAAATTGTTGGCGCTATATAAATCCTGTATAATAATAAAAATGATATTTGCTATTACATAGGGGATTGCTAGCCACTGTGTGATAGCAATAAAGTTGAGTGTAAAAAAAAGAAAATTGTAAAAATCAAATTAACAGATAAAAGAAAATAAAAAAAAAATTTTTTTTTAAAGCCCCCCGCCCCCCACATAAAACGCAAACACGCGTCAGATGCGCCTACGTGCAGAAAGGAACATTGTGCCACACGTTACATATTGTCACGAGCGTCGGATTGAAAGCAATAATTCGCGGCCCATCAATCACTGTTAGCACCAAACTGATGAGCCGTAAAAGCGTTTAAAGCGTCGCCTGTGGGAAATTCTGAGTATTGCAGTTTTTTGCGGTTTCACGGACGCACAGAATTTTAAGGCTTGACATGTTTGGTATCGATTTACCCGACGTGACCCCAAATGTTATATTTTACCCAAAAAATTGGGTATTATATTCTGTTTCTGTGCACTAAATTTCACTTTAGTGTATTTTATCTTAAAAATACCGGTTTGATGAACATTTGCGCAAATACTGCGCGACATAAAAAATTGCAACTTTTTATTCTACAGAGCTTCTGCTTACAGAAAATATCTCATTGTTTGGGGGTCTGCAGCTCTTTTCTAGCCAAAAATTCAGATTTTATCCTGTGTGTGCAAATGTAAGAAATTGCTCCGAGCAGCAAGTGGTTAATATGGGTGTCAGGAGCCAGCCCGTCCAATCACGGAGCCAGCAGGGTTATTTTTTAGGAGCCAGCTCCATTGATTAAAGCTAGAGGAAACCTCAAAAGATAGGCGCCAGCTGTAATTGTGAAGGATCATGGCTTCTGGGATATGTCCAGCCCTGACTTAAAGGAGAACTATGGGGTCAGGGCTTTTCCCCATAGTTCTCCTCAGGGTAACGGGAGGACACAAACTAGCGTCCTCCCGTCACCCTACGCTCAGTATATAGCGAGCTACAGCTCCCTATATACTGAGACGCCGCAGCCGGAGTGGATCCCGACAATTGTGTCTGGATCCGCCCAGCTGCGTGAGTGACAGCTGGTTCTGCCTATCTAGAGCTGTACCCGCCCCCTCCCCCGTCCGTTCCGCCAGTCAGCGCTGGAGGATCGGAGCGGGGAGTGGGGAATCCAGCCCCTCCCCTGTCACGGCAGAGAGGCGGGGCAGGATCGAGAAGTGAGCGAACGTCGGTATGTGTTCGCTCACTTCCCGATCTACTGAGCCGACCTGTGACAGT